TTCTTCTGCCGCAGACATAATCTGTTGCAGAGTATGATTGATCAGGGAGAATTGCTTTCGCAATTTCGCCCTCATGGTCTAGCTCCGAAGTCCATCGATGAATAGATCCCTCCCGACTTACTCTCCTCGTTCGGTTTTGACAAACATCCTATAAATTGGTTCCGATATTCCGTGACAGATTCGAGTAGCTTCTGCACTTGATCCTTAATCGTGAACAAGGCTTGTTCCAGATGAATGTAGTGAAATCGGTCAGGAAGTCTCGTTCAAAAGTTGGGAGATCTACCCAAACGTAAGTGTTGAACCAATGATGTGTGTCCCCTCCCAATCTAGCGGGGATGTTAATTTAAGCTTCATCATTATCATATTGTTGCGAGCGTAGCGTGGCCAGCCATGCCCCAGCCAGATGATGTGCAGGGTCAAAAAGATAGAGATCCGGTGGAGCCATAGGCGCGCGAGCCCGCGGGGCCAGGACTGGACCAGGATTTAGATTCTAGTTCTGATTCGCATTTATATTGGCTGCCTGCCGCCCAGCCAACCTACTTCGTGTTACTATAGGATCGCGGCGTGGCGCGTTCCGTTGTCTCGGTCGTCCTCTGTTCGCCAGATCATTCGGTATAATCACCTTTCGTGTTAATCCGTAACCCTGCCACGTGTCGGCTCCAATACCAACCTCACGCCCAGCGTGACTTTCTGATCGGAGTGGGATGGGGGCCCGGAAGTGCGAAAAAGGGGTGTGCCAAGGATTTTAGGAAAGTGGAGGTGGAGTCCTAGGTCGGAACCGAAATCTCCGGTGACAAGTTTAGGGACAACGGTGCAAGATGGTACGCGAAGATCGTATCTGGCGTTTCAGCCTTCGGAGATGGGACTATGGTCTCTGCCAGTTGCGACTGTGGCCGGTCCCTTATCTTGTGGACCGGTGGGACACCATCACTGTCGCGCGGTTCGACACAGTTGTCGGTGCCGCTCGTAACAAGCTTCGGAATCCGACGAGGCTGGCCGTAGGCGGAGGCTGTGTAGTTGTTGCTCGACTTCGAAACCGGTTTGTCGAATAAATCCCGAAGCCCGGTATGCCTGGTACCGCTGGCACTCTTTGCACGATGGGTGGGGCCAATAGCGAGCTATGGAATTCCACGGTACCACCGTGAGCTGGTGATATGGAAGGAGGAGATGGAAGGGAGGGAACCTGGTATTAATAACGACGATGCCCGAAGATTTGGAATATTGAGTGTTGTCAGTATCTGGATAGTCTGGGCCCCTAGGATCACCGGTTGTGCCCAAGTGGAAATCCCCCGCGCACAGTCGGTCGTTCTCCGTCAGACAAGGGAATTTTGGGTTTCTCAAGTTTCCCCGTCGTCTGAGATGCTCACCCTCCCAGTACTCGCGATACTCCGGGTCCCTCAGGCTCTCACGATTGGTGATCCAAAAGGGAATTTTCACAGCCATATCCGGCTAGTGAACTCAGTTTCTCGCATCCTCATAATGAATTCGAGGTTGACTCATGCAGACGCGCGCGTACGCTGCGACTCGGTTTTCTCGATGTCGCAGTCGTACGCGAACGTGCACATGAGCGAAAGCGGATCAGACTCGGGTTTCTCGTCTCGAGGTAGCGATTGTGTCCTACATGCATGAAACTATCCTATCCATACAATTTTGGGTATTACATTCACACCCATGCCATTCATGTAACGGGGGGAAGGGGGGGTAATCACAGTATCTTCGGTGATCTGATGATGATCGTCTGTAGCAAGTATCTTTTATCAGACCCGATACTATTGCTCGACACAGATGGATACTAGAAAGTGACGAAATAATCAAGCATGCATCACAAAACAAGATAAAGGAAATCCGAAAAAAATACTCAAAAAGAAGAGCTCACATCCATATCATACATACACACGAAGCAAAAGCAACAAAGAAAATTTGAAACAAGATCGACCAAAGTAGAAATCAAAATTATACAGATAGTTGGAAGAAGAGACTTCATCCCACACATAGCTGCTCTCTCTCTCTTTCTACATTCCCCGATGCGGGCAGTCCGTTGTCGCGCATCAACACAGAGTTGTCACCCCGTTCGAGCATGCAAGCCAGGTTCGCTTGTGCACCGCAGTTCGTCGTGGCCCACACGTCAACCCAACATACCCGACACCAGCTCGTCGGATCGCCCAACTCTCTCGTGGACTCACCTCTCAAGCTGACTCGTTAGCCGACCCTCACTGATCGTGCTAACTCCAAAGTTCATAGAGAGCAAACTAATCGCGCTCGCCAAATTTATAGCATGCATGCTTGCGTGAAAGGTAAGGGATTAATCCGAAGTGGTCAGGAGGAGAAGAGAGGAAGTGCCTGCGTCTGCATGGCCAGGCCGAGGCGTGGGGGACGTAGCCGCATTCCACACATCGATCCGGCCATACAAGCGTTCAGGCTAATCAGAAGCAAGGCAAAGAAGAAGAAGACGAGGAAATCAAGAAAGGAGAGAGATATAGTTACAATTGCGTTCGCCAAAAACGACAGTTACACAAGATTAAGGGCGCGATTCAGTCAGAGCTCAATTCCTAGCACAGCAGGATGTGCGCGAGTGAGAAGCATGGCGCAACAAAATTCAGAGTACCTAAATTCCTAGCTTAAGTCCTAATTGCAAAAGGAAATTCCGAAGAGCCCAAAAAGAATTTCGCGAGCCCGTGGGGACTCGACGTCAGTTGAAATTCAAAAACGATCATATTCTCGCGCGATGATTGCGCCAAAAATTCCCAGTGCTCACAACAAAACAAGAAAGGTGCCATGGACATCGTTGTCCGTCGCGCTCGCTAAGGCGCGATTACCCAATCGTTGGCGCGGGACTTTCCCGACACCAACCCAACAGATTCCCACAAAAATCGAAAAGAAACGAGGACATCTATGCAATTTGCCCGACCGACCCATCTTTCCACAGCTCCCCGCCTTAATACCCCCTCCTCGTCATCATCGCGCAAAAAGTCACGCGGCACAGAAAATAGTTTGTCACAGTGGTGCTGACCTGGGTCAAGACTTCTCCGCAACCTTTTGACTTGCTATTTGCGCTCTTTGCTTTCCTACCTGTGCTCTGTCTATGCTTGCTGGTGATAAGCAATCGGGCTGCTGGCCCCCAGAATAGATGGGGCTTGTGAGCCTTGTGTGTGTGTTTGGTTTTAAAAAAAGAAAAAAAAGAAAAACGGAGATTACTTCGATAGATTAAGTTTCAAATTCTATATCAAGGAGATTTAATACTCCTGATGAACTTACAGATACCTTGATGCTTACCCTAAGGAGAGTTCGAAAATCCATAGGCTTGGAAAACCTAGAGAACCGAAAATTAGTATTGTTGTTTATCTCTTCCTAAATGTCGTCAAACCCCGATTATACCTATACTAAAAGAGCTTCCCAAAGTGCGTTAAAAACTCTTGAAAGATCTAAACCCCGGGGCACAGTGCAGCGGTACAGGGAGTGGTGCGTTACGCCACTGCACTGGCGGGAGCCTGGAGAGAAGGGGTTTGAGACGACGCTGCAGGAGAGTGATGCGACATGTCGTCTCGAGTTTTTTTTTTTTTTTTTTTCCCTCTGTCGTCGGCGAATATTCATTCTCCATTTTCCTCATTTGGTGAGTAGAAATCCACTCTAGAATACAACAGTGGCTCAAGCACCATGCTATTAAATGCAAACAGGGATCCCAGGCCTTGACATGATGTGAAGCAGCAATTGTCTACACGAGTATGTTCAATCTTTTTCGTTAATGGAGCCTTCGACACAGGGCACCACTTAAGGAGGGGGCTCTTATCACCTTATTAAGCGGAAACTCCATGGCAAGAAGTCAAAAAAAAAAAAAAGGAAAAAAAATATTTTCCATGTACAATAAATGTTGGTGTCCTGCTTGGCCATAGGCATGGGGTGGAGCACCTCCAAGGTTGGAGACCATTTGTAGATGGTGCCTCCAGACTGCTCCTCGGGAGTAGCACATGATGGAAACCGGGTGCAATGGCCTGTGAACCAAACTTGGTGAAGAGTATAACTCCCCTTTTTGCCCGATACTGCTTTGGCCTATTCCGGACTTTTTTGCAGGTCATGGTTGTACGAACTCGTGACCCTGAGGTTCAGCTTTTTGGTGACGATGTTTTAATTTCCGGTGGTTCCTGCACAATGCCCATTTCAAGCAGACTGCCATCTAATCTGAATTTGGCATTTCAGTGCGTTGATGGTAGAAGGCTCCATTACTTTAATGAATTGGTAGACCCCTATGTCCCTCACTACTTCTCACGTTAATCTGGAGATGGAGTGATGTTTTGGAATTCATTGTGCTCCAAAAGTCTAACGACTCTTGTTTGCCAGTGTTGTTAGGATATGTTTGTGTGTTCTTTGTGTTGTGGTGTTTGTTGCATTGTGTGCAACTTATTTGATTTCACGACATTCATCTTGCCTTTGTTACGTGCTCTTCTGACTGCTTTCCGGCGCTGCTGCATGCGACTACATCCTCTTGGGTGGTCTTTGGTGTTTGCAAAAATTGTACTCTTCATAAGCGTTGTGATTTCAATCTTTGTCCTTGATTATGGCCTCTTCTAATTGTTTTCTAACAGAGTGCAAGGTGCTATTTTGGGATATATGTCTAAAAAAAAAAAAAAAAAAAAAAAGTTTTTTTTTTTTTTTTTTTTTTTTTTTTTTTTTTTTTTTTTTTTTTTTTTTTTTTTTTTTTAACTTCGCGTGCGGGAAACCTACTTAACAAGGCGATAAGAGCAGCCCCACTAAGCAGGCCCCTGCGACGAAGGCTCCATCTATTGGTGGGGAGCTGCACCTGCTGGAAATCGGGTTCAACGTCCCTATACAACGTTATGATGTGTTTCAGCTGAAAATCGGGTCCAACGTCCCTGTAAAGTGTTGTGGGGATATGTCACTCTACCAAGACACAAAAACCTAGCGTCACACAGATGTGATACGTATGCGCTGGAAATCGGGGCCACATCCCTATTGTGTGTTGGCACGTCAACCCTAATCTCAGAAAAGAGCTGAGGCATTGATTACTTCCTTGCGTAAGGGAAGGATTGACCTACAGCCCATGAAGCGTTATCCTAACAAAACACATGTTCATCGATCCCCCAACAAGGAGGTCAAAGCAAAACGTGAAACCCTAAACTACCCGCCTCCCCTTGGGGGCATCACCAAAACGTGACTATCTTATGTTGATCAATCAAATTATGAGATCCGAGGGGGAAACCCTAACCAATCATATTTCCGTTATGATGCCGAGCAGAGGAAGATCGCCCTTCTCAATTGAAGTTGCGTGCCGAGCAATTTTAAATCCCCTTCAACTATCCTAACCCCGCCCTGAACTGGACATCAATAAACAATTCCATATCGAGATTGAAAGGGGGGAGGATAGAACCCCACTTTGTTTCAGCCCTAATCCCCTTCCCACTATCCACGTCAGAACCCGGCATCTCACTCACTATACTGATGGTGAAAATGAGTGCACGGTCACTACTGCCAGTCTCGTTGTTGATGTCTTTGTTGTTGTTGTTGTTGTTGTTGTTGTTGCTGTTATTGTTGCTGTTGCTGTTGTTATTGATGCATTTACCATCAACCACAACCGCGTTATCTTCGTTAAAGCTATTGATGACGACGTTGTTGTTGATGTCATCATTGTAGTTGTTGTTGTCGACACTGTCGTTGTCGTTGTGGCCGTTGTTGTGGCCGTTGTTGTTGACGTTGTTGTTGATGTTGTTGTTGACGTTGCTATTGTTGTTGTTATTCTTGCTGTTGTTGTTGTAACAGTTGTTGTTGTTGTTGTTGTTGCCGTTGTTATTGTTGTTGTTGATGCTGACGTTGGGGTTTTCATTATTTTCGTTCGCTTCATCCTCCTGGCAGACCTCATCCTCCATATCGTTATCGCCCTTCAGCCGCTCCTCAAGCATATAGCACAGGTTGCGACCCTCAGTGAAGAGGGCATAGCNCTCCTGGCAGACCTCATCCTCCATATCGTTATCGCCCTTCAGCCGCTCCTCAAGCATATAGCACAGGTTGCGACCCTCAGTGAAGAGGGCATAGCAAGCGGACATCATGCCATCAACCTTCCTCCAATCGATGCAGGCTTCAAGTTGGGGATTGGGCCCCTTCTCCAGCATCAAGATAATATTCAGCATGTCGCCGGTTACATCTTTCAACCAATCAGCCAGAGAAATCGCTCCCCTTTTTACCTTCGGCTCCTCATTTGACCACGAAGACAACTCCCACACCATCACTTGTAACCGCCTGCAACCTTTCTCCAAGGTTCTTAGCCATTCGTCAGCTCCCCATTGTAGCTCCCCTACCAACTTCATTTCGTCAACGCACCGTCAAATCCAAAAGATAGGCACCTCACACCGACGTACCGTCTCCTGATGTGCCCGATGGGAGATCCACCATCACTTGGACGAGACGACCAGGCGGACACCAAGATGACCAAGGGTAGCGATGGTGTATCACCACTACCACCCTAGTCTACCGTGTATGGATGGGCCTCGCCAACCGGTCCGTAGCGCAGGTTAGCGCTAAGCGCCAGCGCATTCCCGTTTAATGCTCGGGGGGTTAAGTTTTTCAGTTAACATGGATTACTCATCTCTGTACTTCGTGTCAAGTGCATTGGGTTATCAAGGGGATTTTATGGGACTTAGCGTCTATTATGTTTGTCTTTGCTCACAATTTCTTGAGAATTGAGGTATAAGGTAAGGCTTTTTAAGGAGGCAAGGCAATTGGTAATGACCTCCTCAATTGAACATTCATTTTATAAGCTATTGGCTGGGAAGATTCCTCTTGAAGAGGCTACTGGACGAAATATGTCAGGTCCAGGATGCATTGGTTTGTGGGAGGACTCATCTACTTTTGATGGGTCCATTTTGGTGGAAAACACTTTATATTATCAATGTATCATTCGATGCTCCGAGTGCTTTGTTATTGTCTTGAGTTATGATTTGCGAAATGTTATTGAGTTCCTCTATTGCATTTCAATCTGAAGATTTGGTTCCATGCTGTTATAGTATGCATCATAGTGTGTGCGATATGGATACATCAATCTATGCTATGCTCATGCCGTGATTGTTTGCCGACAATTTATCATTCCCGATTATTATCATATCCATAAGTGCAGTCGAGCACGTATTGGTGGCTGCGTCTATGTTTGTTTCGTGGTTATGCTTTTTGGTTAGGATTCGTCAACTTTATTAAGTTTGGTACGTTGCTTCGTAAGGCCACCTATTAAGGGACTTGTTCAAGAAGGTTTGAAGTGATGCAAGATCCCTAGAATTTACACTATAATAAATTGCCCTCAGTAACTTCCTGCAAATGTCACCCCTTAATTTTCAAGGTTTAATTAACGCTTCCCTTTCAGAGCTCACTTATAATCTCATGGTCAGAACCACCAACCCGATTCATATCAAGTAGATAATCTTATAAGCGGCAGTTAAAAAAAAAAAAAAAGGGACAAATAAATATATATATATATATATATATCGTATATATATATATATACAGGGTTACCTGACCGAACGTTCGGGCGTTCGGGGTCCCGTTCGGGGGCCGAACACCTTCAGGTTCGGCCCCCGCCAAAACAATTTTCGAGACCTAAAAATAAGTTTTTTTTTCTGAATTTGTTTTTATCCGTTTTCTATGATGTAACCTACACGCCTATAAATTTTGAAGCCACTCTGTTAAGCCAACAAAATATTAAAAATCGTCAAAGATGGAGGTGTCAAAACGTGCTCGCCCACTCACTATTTTGTTTTTTAAACTTTTTTTTCACTTTTAACTTTTTGTTTTCACTTTATTTCGGGGCCTAAAATATTTTATTATTTTTTTTTAAAAAATTAATGAGTTATTGATTATGTAAACCACAGATCTGTAAATTTTCAGGCATTTGTCAATGCCAAAAAATAATTAAAAATCGGCAAAGATGACGGTGTCGAAAAGGTGCTGGCACACTCACTCATTTTAATTCTCTTTTTATTTTTTCTTATTTTTATCATAGTGTTTATTTTTTGTATTTGATTTTTAATTCAAATTTGGTAAAGACTTTGGATGTAGTTCCCAGGAAAATGTTGTTTAGTTTATTTTTCTCCATACTATACTTTTGTTTCAAATTTTTTTGAAAACTTTGTTTTTTTTTTTGTTTTTTTTTTTTGGTCCGCACGGCCGAACGCCTTCCGAATGGGTCCCGTATGTTCGGGCGTTCGGGTTCGGGTGTTCAGCTCGTCCCAAACGCCGGCAACCCTGTATATATATATATTTACATACTAATATATATATAATTTATCTTTTGGAAGGATCGGCTTCATTTGCGGCAAAGGTTCGGCTACCTTCTTTAACATAAGATTCAAAGGAGCGCTAAGTACCGCCGAAGTTCCCCAATCAAACATATATATATACATGGTTACCGGCGTTCGGGACGGGCCGAACGCCCGAACCCGAACGCCCGAACGTACGGGACCCCTTCGGGAGGCGTTCGGCTGTTCGGGCCGAGCGCGGACCAAAAAAAAAAAAAAAAAAAAAAAAAAAAGTTTTCAAACAATTCCGAAACAAAACTATGTTACGGAGAAACATAAACTAAACAACATTTGCCTGGGCTTTACATCCAAATTCTTTACCAAATTTGAATTAAAAATCCAATACAGAAAATAAACACTATGATAAAAATAAGAAAAAAATAAAAAGAGAATTAAAATGAGTGAGTGTGCCAGCACCTTTTCGACACCGCCACCTGAAAATTTACAGATTTGTAGTTTGCATAATCAATAACTCATTAAAAAAAAAATTAAAAATAATAAATTTGTTTAGGCTCCGAAATAAAGTAAAAACAAAAAGTTAAAAGTGAAAAAAAAACAAAATGGTGAGTGAGCGAGCAAGTTTTGACACCCCCATCTTTGACGATTTTTTATGTTTTTCTGGCTTTGTAGAATGGCTTCAAAATTAATAGGCGTGTAGGTTATGTCATACAGAATACACAAAAACCAACTCAGAAAAAAAAACCTATTTTTAGGACCCAAAATATGTTTTTGCGGGGGCCGAACACCTCCAGGTTCGGCCCCCGAACGGGACCCCGAACGCCCGAACGTTCGGGGGGCCCTGGTAACCCTGTATATATACATATATATATATATATATATATATATAGGTGTGGGTGAGTGATAGTCTACTTTCATTTTGGTTAAGGTAGATTATCATTTACAGTGTAATCAGTGAGAAGATTCTTCAGGCTGTTGAGGGTTCAGCCTCCTGATGAGTCGGTGAAACTCCGACGAAACAGTTTGTCACAGCCCCTTGTTTGTTGTCCTCTTCTCTCTCTCTGCCTACGGTTTTACCGGGCAGTTCTGTTTGTGATGATATATATATATATATATATATATATATATATATATATATACAGGGTCACCATCCGTACGTACGGAGGTGCCCGGGCTGACCTCCGTACATACGGGCATTCGGGGTCCCGTATGGGGTCCGAACCTGGCGGCGTTCAGCCCCCGCCAAAACTTATTTTGGGGCCTAAAAATATTTTTTTGTTTCTGAATTTTTTTTTGTAAGTTCTATATAATGTGAGGTACCTGTCTATAAAGTTTCAAGTCATTTGGCTCAGCCAAATTGGAATTAGAAATCACCAAAGATGGCGGTGTCAAAACGTGCTCGCCCATGTTTTGTTTCACTTTTTACGTTTTGTTTTTACTTTAGTTCGGGGTTAACAATTTTATTATTTTGTGAAACTTTTTTAGTGAGTTTTGCATGATGTGAGGTACACATCTATAAATTTTCAGGGCATTTATCTATTCCAAAAAAAAATAAAAAATCGCCAAAGATGGCAGTGTCGAAAACGTGCTCGTGCATTCACTAAATTTATTTATTTGTTTGTTTTTTGTAATTTTTATAAATTTTATTTTAGTATTTGTTTTTCGTATTTTATTTTGATTTCAAATTTGGTAAGGAATTTGGATGTTATGCTCAGATAAATCTTTTTTAATTTATTTTTCTCCATAACATATTGTTTTTGCACATATTTTTTATGACTTTTTTTTTTTTTTTTTTTCCGTGTTCGGCCGGAATGGCCGAACGCATCCCCAAGGGGTCCCATACGTTCGAGCGTTCGGGTTCGGGCGTTCATATATATATATATATATATCGTCAAATAGAATATATATATATATATATACAGGGTTACCAGCCCGTATGTACGGAGCCCCCCAGGAGGGCCTCCGTACGTTCGGGCGTTCGGGGTCCCGTACGGGGTCCGAACCCAACGGCATTCGGCCCGCGCCAAAAATTATTTCGAGGCCTACGAATATTGTTTTTTTCCTGAATTGTTTTTTATGAGTTCTCTATGACGTGAGGTACATGCCTATAAATTTTCAAGTCATTTTGCTTAGCCAAATAAGAACTAAAAATCGCCAAAGATGGCGGTGTCAAAACGTGCTCGCCCACGTTTGTTTTCACTTTTTACTTTTTGTTTTCACTTTAGTTCGAGGTCTAAAAAAAATTATTATTTTTTGAACATTTTTTAGTGGGTTTTGTATTATGTGAAGTACACATCTGTAAATTTTCAGGGCATTTAGCTATGCCAAAAAAACATGAAAAATCGCCAAAGATGGCGGTGTCGAAAACATGCTCGCGCACTCACTAAATTTAATTCTCTTTTTATTTTTATTTATTTCTATTATTAGTATTTGTTTAAGTATTCTATTGTTATTTCAAATTTGGTAAGGAATTCGGATGTCATGCTCAGGCAAATCTTGTTTAATTTGTTTTTCTCCATAATATTTTTTTTTTTCAGATTTTTTTGATGAACTTTGTTTTTTTGTTTGTTTGTTTTTTTTGGGTCCGCGTTCGGCCTGAACGGCCGAACGCATCCCCAAGGGATCCCATACGTTCGGGCGTTCGGGTTCGGGCATTCGGCCCGTCCCGGACCGAACATTCAGGGGCCCCTGGGCTGGCCCCCGAACGTTCGGGCGTTCGGGAGCCGAACTCCTCCAGGTTCGGCCCCCTCCAAAAACCATTTTGGGGCCTAAAAATAAGTTTTTTTTTCTGAATTTGTTTTTGTGAGTTTTCTATTATGTAACCTACACGCCTATACATTTTACAGCCGTTCTGCTAAGCCAAAAAAACATTAAAAATCGTCAAAGATGGGGGTGTCAAAACGTGCTCACCCACTCACTATTTTTTTTTTTTCACTTTTAACTTTTTGTTTTCACTTTATTTCGGGGCCTAAAGAAATTTATTATTTTTTGAAAAAATTTTAATGAGTTATTGATTATGTAAACTACATATCTGGAAATTTTCAAGGCATTTTTCAATGTAAAAAAATAATTAAAAATCGGCAAATATGGTGGTGTCGAAAAGGTGTTGGCACGCTCACTCATTTTAGTTCTCTTTTTATTTTATTTTATTTTTATCATTGTGTTTATTTTTTGTATTTGATTTTTAATTCAAATTTGGTAAAGAATTTGGATGTAGTGCCCAGGCAAATGTTGTTTAGTTTATTTTTCTCCATAA